CGTCGACGTCCGCGTAGTTAGGATTTTTGGGAGGCGCACGTCAGGCTACGGCGTAGGGGTCTGCGTCTACGCCGTAGCTACGCCGTCGACGTGACGCAGAAGCATAAACTAGGCTTAAGGTGGTTGCTATGGAAGATTTTTTTACTCATCGATAAACTCAACTTAACCTAAACTATTTAAATATTTAATATGATACCATTCGCCAGCTCGCTGTCTTCTTCTTCTTCTCTGGATTATTTTAGGTCACCGCTGTTCCTCAGTAAAGTAGGATGAGCGTGTCGGGCGCAGAATGAAAGAAAACAGGCTCATCGTGTCTTTACTCCACAGCGCCACCATCGGTCAAACAGTCCACAGGTCTTAAGAGAGTTGTTTGAGACTCGGGTTAGGAACCCAAACTGACCTCGGCAGAGACCGAAGCTGCTCTTGACAATCAGTTGTCATGGTAACCCGTTACTAAGGCTGGTGGAATGTCCTGCTGCTGCTTTCATGGTTTGACAGGAACAAATTTGAGGTGAAGATGTTTTTGTATGATTTGTGACCCCGTCTCTGGCGGCCCTATTGGAGGCCCCGAGGTCTGGGAACAGCTGATCATCACGATCAACGTGCCTCCATTCAGCCACTAGTTTCTTATGAAGTTATACTTTGTAAAGTAATGAAATACTCAATATTTTGGCTCATCGGCTCCATATTGTTATAAGTATCAGGACTTTGAAAAGATTTCATGAGAATCTGAGTGTGTTCTGAAGATGAGAACTTTTTTGTGCTGTCGTGAAGTTGGTTCTGCTTTTTTCTAAAACACTATTGATGAGTTCGTTTATTTTATTTATTTTTGAGCATTTTCGATGTTTTAACCACTTAAATAGAAACGTAAATAATTATAACGTTAGTTAATGTATGTGAACTCCATGATAACGTGTTCTCCGTTTGTCTACTGACTGCTCCAGTTGCAGTTTCTTCGGTGTCTTTTAAGCACTTCAGCGAGGGGCATTGACTCATGGGTATTTTATCTTGTCAACATCTGGCAAAATGATGAACTGTTGTTCAGTTCTAGCTCGAAGTTCACGTCGAACTGAGCGTGATGGTTTTGGAATCTCACTTAAAATGGTTGAATGCGAAGATTCTTCTTCTTCTGGTGTCGTTTCTTAAGTTACCAAACAGCCTGTGATGCATCATCGCCCCCTTGTGGACTGGATGAGAGTTGACTGGTCTCAAGGTTGAGAAGTGTAAATGCTGCCAGTGTTTAACCCACAACTCTTTTATTTTGCTCCCATGTTTTTCACTATAGCTCTTAAAGGTGAGGATAGTTAGATTACATGTACTATGATATGTTAGATTCAACTTTTGGTTTTAGCTTCAACAGAAAAACAAAACAGTGAATGACAAATATAAAAGTGTGATCAACATAAACATAACAACCGTGATTCTACAGTGAGTTTGCTGTAGGTGTTAGTATGAATGTAAAGGTGTAAGAGTAGTGACCACTGACGTGAAACTTTTAAATCTAATCTGTTCAGTCTGATAAAGAAATAATGGATTTTTATTCATTTTGAGAAATGAAAGCACTCACTCAGATGTGACGTTTGATGAAGCCCCCTTGTTGTCCTTGTCCCTGCAGGTTGTGTCTCTGGGCATCACCTCCTTCACCTTGTGTGCTCTGGGTATCGATCGTTTCCATGCCGCCACCTCCTCGTCCCAGCCGAAGGCTCGGCGGGTGGAGCGCTGCCGCTCTGTGCTGCTGAAGCTGCTGCTGGTGTGGCTTGCTGCTCTGCTGTTGTCCAGCCCAGAGATCTTCTTGTGGCAGCTCAGCCAGACCGTGTCCTCATCCACCGGCCGGCTGGTGGACTCCTGCACCATCACCCCCTCCTCCCCTCTGTCCTTCTACCTTCCTGACTCCCTCCACTCGCTGCTGCTCAGGTATCACCAGGTGAGCGTCTTTTCCGTCCCTGATAACGACCTGACTTTTCATATTGTAATTTAGGGACTGAAGACTTTTGCCTGACATACGTACGTCCTGTCATCATCACCACGTGGGCTGCGTCTACCTGTTCTTGACTCTGATTGGTTTATAGACGGCGTCTGTTGTGGAGTTGTGTTCACTCCACCAAAGAACCGAACCATGGTTCGGTTTGATCCAGACCCAGAACAACTCTTCTGGTCTGAGGAACCTTTCACACGAGATGTTTAGGTTCAGAGTTTAAGTTCTGAACCAAACCAGCTGTGAAAGCTTCTTAACTAACTTAGACTTACCTCACAAACGACCTGTGCTCCATCCGTCTCTTTCAGGGTCGTATGTGGTGGTGCTTCGGCTGCTACTTCTGCCTCCCCGTCCTCTTCACCATTCTCTGCCAGATGGCCACCCGCAACGTCAATAGCGACTACACCTCTGCCAAAAAACAGCGCGACCATGACGACCGCTCCTCCAATCAGAAGCGTCAGCAGCACCAGGCGGTGGAGCGGCAGCTGAACTGCACGCTGCTAGCATTAGCTGTGGTGTACGGCATCTGCGCTCTGCCCGAACACATCTGCAACATCACACTGGCCTACACGCAGATCACTGTCTCTGAAGACACAGCCGCCATGTTGGCTCTGTTGCATCACTTCCTGTTGTTCTTCAAGTCATCGGTGACACCTGTGCTGCTGCTGTGTCTCTGTAAGGTGAGTCAGAGACAACACACACATGTGTTCACAAAATGGATGTCTCGTTTCAAGTCTTCTTCAATACAGCTGATGTTCGTTCAGTAAATTATGGTCCGTTAAGAGTCAGACAGACGTTAAAGCACCGTAAACATTCTGGCCTGGAACACGTGAGTCCATGTGGCTTGTGTCGGTGGGCGTGTCCTCAAGTTCTCAGTCAGGCTCCACCCCCGTTTGTCAGAGTGTGGCTATTTCTGATTTTAAAAAACAAAGATGGCGCCGAACAAGATGTCAAAGTCAAAGTCCCAGAGGACAGACGCATCATTTTTGATAAACTCGAGACGACTCAGCTTGTTGTTGTGTTTCAGGCTCTCGGCCAGGCCTTCATGGACTGCTGCTGCTGCTGCTGTCAGGAGTGTCAGCCCAACACGACCCAAGGATCACCAGGCTCCGCCCAGGTCAAACTGAAGGCAGCCAATGAGACGTCCATCTTATTTGACAAGGCTAAAGACACGTCCGCCATCTTGTCCATCTCCAGCTAGAGCCTCTTTAACTATCAGTCCATCCTTTCCTCCGGGATAAATCAATCATGTCCATTCTTCTCTTCCTTCCCTGATGTTTAACTGGTCAGTTTCCTTTCTCCTCTTCCATGTTTGCCATCATCCCTCTTCTTCTTCTTCTACCACATATTCTTTCCATCAATACTTCTTTCTTTCTCTCGGCCCTCCCCTCCTCTGTATGATATTTCTCTATGGACACAGTGTTCCCCCCTCCAGCTTCCTCTCTGTGCAGGAAATGAGGTTTAATCTGTAGTGAGTTTAGAAAAGTTGCTGTACTTGCACAGCCAGCTGTTGTAAAAGCAGGAGCCTGTTTCCGGACCCTCCCAGTGGGACTCGTCTCTCCGGCTCCCCGCTGACATGTTTGTGAAGTTTTATGGAAAAACAACAGTAGATGCAGAATAGATGGAAGATCCTCGATGTTTGTTGCACCTAAGACGGATGATGCAAAGCTGAAATGTAAATGTGTTTCATGGAGAAGCAGCAGAAGTTTATATGTACGGTGGTTTTGTGGGAGAAGCTGCGGCTGAGCCAGACGTGGACGTTAGTTTGAGTCAAATCAAACTAATCAAGCTAATGTCAGAAGCTTCTTCAGACGCTGTTCAGTTCTTTTATACAATTTGTTCAAAGTCATTAAATAGAACAACAAAAAGTGCAAAAGTTAAAAGTTAAAAGTTACAGAGAGCTCCCACAGCCTCGTCTGAAGAACAGAAGCGCTGCTTGTTCGAGTTAAATGAGGTGAAATCTTCTGTTGCATTGTGGGAGCAATGCATTCAAGCAGCAACGCAGACGCCGGCCGATCAAATCATGTTTATGTAAATTCACGGTCCTGACTCACATGGACACAAACTGGAGAAACAGAGGCAGCTCAGAATGTCGGCCATCTTGTGTGTCCTGAGCGGGAAACTGTGCTTGGTTGTTGTCATGGTGACGGGCGCTGTCGTGTGATAAGCAACATTTACATGTGAGCGCTGTTGCCAAAGCTTTCTTACACATTTAAAATAATAATATAAATAATCAGTCATTGGCAGAAACTCAGCAAAAATCGTCTCAACAAAATTATGACACGTTTGCACAAATGCCCTAAATTCATATTTCTTGGAGACAAAGTTGTTGTCGAGGCAGAAAAAAACGATGAAGCCGTCAAAGTCAAAGCAGAATTCATTCAACTTTTAGTTTCGTAACGATCCCGTAACTCAACTGTATGAACAACATATGAATCATCATTTTGTTTTTGGTTGTGTAGAACATGTTGGGATTGTGGCTGCGCTGTTCATTACAGCCACAAGGGGAGCTTGGTAATTTATGCTGGCTTTACACACGAAAAAAGATTCTTCCATTTTAAATGATTCAAGTTTATGTTGGCCTGGTTGTTAATCAATACGTCCACTAGAGGGCAGTGCAGAACTCGAGGGTTTCTGACAACAACAAACATGTCGTAAATGGCAACGTTCCAACCGACCTGCTCGTCAGTCTCTCTTCAAAAACATCTGCCATTGTTGAAATTTGTGTTTCATGATCGTCTTCCTTGAAGCTACACTCGATCCAGCTCCAGTTGAAATAATTTCTGCCTCCGCAGCAGCTTTGTCTTTAAGAAACGTTCCAACACGTGAACGAGGAACCACCGCGAGAGTCAGGATTCAATCTGTGATCTCAGACAAGAACGTGATGATACATCGTTTGAAGGCTTCGATGGATGTTTTGACTTGTCTTCCTGTGAAGAGCGTGGTGCCTCGTTAAGCTTCGAATCCATCAACCTTGTTTGTGACGACGAAGACAGAGTGTAAGAGGCAGGGAGGAGACATAACGAGTATTTGAACAGGACTCGAACCCTCAGTACTGAGGTGCTCTCTTTGTACAGGAAATGAAACTGTGTAGGAAGTTGTGTATTAATATGTGTTTAGCATAACAGTGTTTTCACTGTCAGACTCAAACCACTAGAACAAATGAAGCAGAATATGATTGTAGCTCGTTTTAAAGCTAGTTCTTTGACTAACTACATCGTTGTATGAAGGGAAGTGCGACAGTAAATCTTCTACGTCACATGAATGTCTACGTGTTTGTGATTATCAGTGTCAGAGTGTGTTCTTGTTGTTGTGATGTGCGTCCATACCGACTGAGTCTCGTCGGAACGTCGGTCTGAACGCCTGCAGGTGGAAACTGTCCAGACTCACGTTGCCTTCACACGAGGAGCAGCTTGTTTCAAACAGCACGTCGCCACCTGTAGTTTCCACGGAAAGTTACAGGTGTTCATGTGCACGATTGCCCGATCAATTCTCTGCTCTAACGCAAAAGATCACAATGGGATTTGTTGTACACGTACTAGATTCTTATTTTCATTCCCTGACAATTCCAGGACGGATTCCGTCGGCTTTTGGGAACCTGACCCAGTTGTCTTATAAATAAAATAACTACATATTTAAAGTAACTCAGGATTCTGACTCGAAGTGATGCACAAGCAGCACCAATGAGTAAACTCATTGTAGTGACATCATCTTAGTTTGATCAACGTTGACTGAAAGACTCGAAGAAAGAAAGTGTGAAGGCAACGTGAATAAACTGTAGAACGTCAGTTCATACATTCACTCTTCGTGAGTCTGAAGTGATGCAACATGGGACAGGAGGAGAAAATACAGTTTGGTTAAATAAAAGTTAGCAACAGAACAAGTGGGTGGAGACTGTCGTGGATTTCTTATTCAAGTCAGAAACATAGAATCATTCTTCAAGATTTTATTCATCATGTGGAAAAATAAAGATTTTATTATTCACATTTTCAGTTCCTCTTTATTTGCCATTT